GGACGGCGGATCCTACACAGTTGAATTTGTCAAGGGTTGAAAGGAGAACTGAGTCTTCTGAGTAAGAATCACAAAGCAAAAGTTGAAGATATGTTTTATTGCTGTTTCTGTTAAGCTCTGGTTACAAATGAATCCATCCCCTTTTTGGGAGATGATAATGAACTATATATAGTACTTCTAAGTAAAATGGGCCAGCTAATAAATGGATCTGGTCCATTAAGCAATATATTAAAATTAGGCCCATTAATCCATTAAGCAAATTTTTGTAAATGAGTTTAATGTCATTTTGGGCCTAGATTCAGACTAGGCCTTTGTAGACTTGCTCCGATTTTGTTAGGATGTTGCCCAGTTGATCTTGTCGTTATATCGATCTCATAGGGGTGGAATCCGACCCCTACAGTTAGCCCCCCAGCTTGGCAGTATCAAGTTAAGATGATGCCGAGGTAAAAGTTGTTGAAATCTGAGATCGATATGTTGGACTGCGAAGTCGCAGGCGTGAACGTCTTATCATCAAACTCGGGAAATTTCCGCTATTCCGTATTGAGTTGATGTCACCGTGTTTTCCTGGACTTCTCGTTGTTGCCCATTCTTTTACTTAGAAGCCTAATAAAGTTGATAGTCTTGTTTCGCTAGTGGGTCTTGAGTTAGCCCCCCAGCTTGGCAGTATCGAGTTAAGATGATGCCGAGGTAAAAGTTGCGGAAGTCTGAGATCGATATGATGGAYGGTRARGTTGCCAGGCGTGGACGTCTTGTCATCGAACTCCGGAAGTTTCTGTTATTCCGCGTTGAGCCGATGTCAGCGTGTTTTCCTGGACTTGTTTTCTTTTTTTTTTTACTTAGAAGCCTGACAAAACTGATGGTCTTGTTGCGTTAGTGGGCTTTGAAACCCGTTCCAGAGACTAAGTGATTTTAGGAAATCCTCCAAGTATAAATAAGTCTGCTTTTTCAGAGTTATTTTCTACCAATTCGCTTTTTCCATAAGCAAAAGGTAAAAAATCCTCTCTCCCTTTCTATCTTCTTATTTTAGGG